CGCCTTCTCTTCCAGCCCCCCTTGCCAGAGAAAGTGAGGAAGGCTGGATGGTCCCACTGTGGATGGCAGATGTCATTGCGCAATTGGTTGTGATGGCACTGTGATGCACATGAGGTTATCATGGCTTCTACCAGACCCTCGTGGATCAGAGTGGCTTCTTCCCATAATCACAGGTCTCAAGCGCTTGTTCTGCCCACAAGCAAAGATGCTCTCCACCCATCGCCCCACGTGGACAGGAGAACAAGACGCAAGATTGGAAGTTGGACTCTGCACTGAATACGGCTTTTCCTTCCGCTCTGGATTTCTTCACTGAACCACTTTTCTGGTTCTCTGCATTCAGCCTGTAGGCTCCCAACCTCCCCCCCCCATCTTAAATTGCCAAAATCCGGGGGCAAAAAAGCTTGGTGTCAGGTGACTGCGCAAACTGAAGGGAGTTGATGGCCTAGGTGGGGAGAATCTGCACATTCCCCTTCTGCTCTTCAACCCGCCCCAACTGGGGGAGAAAGTGGCAGTTGCGGGGGGTTTAGAGGGAGTTAAAGGTTAGAATGGGGGTGGCTTGCTTTCTCCCCAAAATGCTTCCTTCCTGTCTCCCAGCACTAGAGGAAGCAAAACCTTAATTCTTGCTCCTTCAGGAGATGCGACCACATCCCCGACTGTCTATCTGGAGACCTTTCAAAGCTGGAAGGCTGAAATTGAAGTCCTGATCCTCAAGGTCTGTCCGTCCGGACCAGTGTTTCTCAACCTCACCAAGTTGAAGTCCACCCATCTTAAAGTTGCCACGGTTGAGGAACCCTGGTTTAGGCCACGAATAACGCAATTCCCAGAGTGAAGGAAGGTCCGAAGTCATCTATATGTTTCATAACTTTGGGGTCTTTTTCTCACACTTTTCTGTTTTTTTTTCCTTTTGGTTTGTTGTTATAATATGAAAATGTTCAATAAATGCAATTAAAAAAACAAGCCGGCCTCCCCATGGGAACCCACAGCTCAAGCTGTCCAGAGCATCTCACAGGAGCGGGAGATTCTCTTTTCCCATGTTTTCATGACCCCAAATTTCATGCGCTGTCCGGATTTTACTAATTTATTTGTTAGATTCATATCCCATGCACCCTCGAGGTGCTAAGTGCTTCCTCCTCCCATTTTCCTCTGCCACAACAATCCTGCGAGGTAGGTTGGGCTGAGAGTGTGTGATTGGCCCAAACTTAGGAAGCTTTTGCGGCCGAGGAGGGACTGGAACCCAGGTCTCCCCAGTGCCAGTCTAATACCGCCACCCTGGTACCCAGATGCCTCTGCAGGAAAACAGGACAAGCTATGTCCTCACGCCCCACTGATGCCATTGCATAACCCCCCCCCTTTACATGCCTGCATCATGACATCACTGCACACGCTCAGATGTTGTGAAAGGGTATCTTGGTCCTTACTTACCAGCAAAAAACAGGGCAGCCAGCCCAGACAGCTTGTTTTTTGACTGTAATCGCCAATTAGTATTAGATATGTTTGCCACCTTGAGTTATATACATGAAAAAGGCAGGATAAAAAATCTAATAACAATAACAATAACCACAGGTAGTCCTCACTTATTGACTGCAATTGGGACCGGCAACTCTGTCATTAAGCAATGTAAAGTGAAACATCACATGACCGTGACTTAAGACGTCAGTTTGTCAGTTCTGGTTGCGGCCGTTAAGGAAATCACCGCGGGCTGTTAAGCACAATGTCACATGACCATGATTTGTGACCTTCCCTGCTGGCTTCCCTATTGACTTTGCTTCTTGGAAGCCGGCTGGGAAGGTCGCAAATGGTGATTACGTGACCATGGGGGACGATGCAATGTCCACAACCTCGAGGACTAGCCGTAAGTCTCCTTATTCAGTGCTGTCATAACTTTGAATGGCCGTTGAATGAATAGTTGGTAAGCAAGGACTACCTATAATAATAACAGCAACAACAGCAGCAGCAACAACCAGCTAAAAGAAGACTAAATGCAGCTGGGCTGGTTTGCCAGCAAGGCATAAATAAAGCACTTTAAAAAAAAAAAAAATTCCTGCCCCCTGGTTCTTACAAGACTTTTTGGGGAATCAGGTTATGCCAGCTGGCTTCCCCAGCTTTCAGATCAGCTTTTAGGAGAAAGGAGGCACCGTGAGGACCTTTGGAGCACAAGCAGAAGCGAGACC